TGGCAGCCTCTGTGTGTGTGCTTGTGTGCTCTTGCATTTTAAGTCTTTTCACTTTGGACCTCCAGGATGTTAGACAGCTCACTTATTGTCAACACTGTGCAAGGGTCCTGAGACCAAAGGTTTGAGCGCCTCGGGCCTGGGGCTGGCACAGAAGAGCTCTGCCAGTGCCAGCCCTCCCCTCCTGACAGGGGCATGCCTCGCTCCCCTCAGTCCCTCAGACCTGACCTATGGTCAGTGTCCACCCCTCATCCTAATCCCCTCTCGCCCTGAGCATAGGCAGCACTGTGAGCTCCCTAGAGATCCAGGGCTACAGCCTGCAGTGTGGGCTTTCCCCTAGCCCCTCCCCTTCCTGAGCTGGATGCAGGGAAGCCCCACACCAGTGGCCAGCAGGAAAGTCCTGGCACTGCCAGCACATGCTGCGTGGACAAGGGAACCAGGTCCCAGATTCCTGTCTTGTCCGATCCCCACCCACCCTCACTGTAGACCCCAGTCTGGGTGCTAGGGGTGGGCCCTGCCAGTCCTCAGACCTAGAGACTCAGGCCTGCTTTCACCACCCGGCCCAAGGATAGGGCCCGAGATCAGAGACCCTCCCTAAAGCCCACTCTCCAGGCCACCATGGCCAGGACCCATATCTGCTAAGGGCTCGGGTAGGAATAGGGGCTCCCACTCCTCAGTCCTCATGCCCTCCTAGGAGTTCACGAAGCTGGACAGACCTGAGCCACGCTCACGCTAGAAACAAACCTGCCAGGAGGGGGCAGTGTGGCCCAGCACAGAGTGCAGTGGGCAGGCAAGACCAGGCAGTGGGCGACCTCGTCTCACCCCAGAAACGAACCCATTGAGAGGGAACAGTGTGGTTCAGCACAGACAGCGGTGGGCAGAACCCACAGCATCAGGATGACCAGGGGTTCCAGGGGAGGCCAGAGCTTGCCACAGCAACAGGGATTGCAAGTGAGGGAATACCCTCAGCCCCCAGGAATCACCTGGGGGCTTCCTGCAACTCCAGCTGCTTTTCACCCTTGTCCCATCTCGGACCGACGAATGTCTCCAGTTTGACCCCAAGTCTAACTGGGCCACACGTGTAAGGACAACTTCCCGGACCAGACAGGGTCTGCGGGGTCACACTAATAGCCTCCTGTGGATGACGGCCCAGGAAGGGAGGCGCATCAGATATCTGGGGTCCTTGGATAGGATCACCAGACAAAATGCAGACACCCAGTCAAATCAGAACTTCAGATAAACAAGGAGCTCCACATTCACATAAACACATCTCAGACATTTTATAGTAAAACAATTATCTGAAGTTCCAATTGGACTGAGTATCTCGTATCTTTGCTTTTTAGGGACAAAGTCTCCCTCTGCCACCCAAGCTGGAGTGAAGTGACATGATCATATCTCAATGTGGCCTCGAATTCCTGGGCTCAAGGGGTCCTCCTGCCTCAGTCTCCTGAGTAGCTGGGAATACAGGCGCATGCCACCACACCCAGGTAATTTTTAGTTTTTTGTAAAGATGGGTCTTGCTGTGTTGCCCAGGCTGGTCTCGAACCACTGGCTTCAAGTAAGGCTCCAGACTCAGACTCCAGAAATGTTGGGATTACAGGCATGAGCAATCACACAGCTCGGCCTTCCTGTACCTTTATTCTCTAACTCAGCTGTCCTCCTTGGAGTCCTCTGTGGCCTTGACATTCATTAGCCTAAACTCAGGTCTGCAGGCTACCAGCACCACTCTCTGGGGGACCGAGTTCCCAGACACCACTGCCTGGTCACTCAGCTCTTCCTCCTTGTCCTGTTTTCCCTGTGGGTTTTGAAGGACTCCAACTTTGGGACTGGGTGGAGATACCAGCAGCTCCTCCAAAGGCACCCCTGGGTCAGTGTGTCTGGCCATCACTTGGGCTGGGTCATTTACCTCCACCCTGTGTAGTGGCCTGAATGTGTCCCAAGGCTATCGGACCCTTGACCCCAGAACCTGCGAATGTGACTATAGGCCACAAGAAAGGACCTTGCAGATTCGATTACTTTAAGGATCGTGAGATGGGGATAATCTTGGATTATCCAGGCGGGCCCTAAACGCAATCACATGTGTCCTATTAAGAGGGAGATTTGGTACACGGGGTAGGGGGGCAAGCAGGGTGAGCACAGGCAGAGACTGGAGCAATGTGGCCACAAGTCGAGGAGGACCCACAGCCACCATGAGTGGGAAGATGCGAAGACCCACTCCTCTCGTGCCTCTGGAAGGCACAGCCCTGCTGACACCTTGAGACTGGTTTTGGACTGGGCCCTGAGGAGCTGCCAGTGGGAAAGTCTGGGCCACAGAGGAGCCCACCCTCAGTGCTACGTGTGAGGTCAGGGGGTCTGCAGCAGCAAGACCAGATGTGGAGCACGTTAGCTCTCTGGAGCAGAGAGGACACAGAGAGCAGCCATCCTGCTACCCCCTACCCTTGCTGGCCTCCCACCTCCTAGACTGGAGCTCCTACACCCACAGCAGAGGGCCTGGGCCGCAGGCCAGGATGGACGGGTGGTGGTGCCCGCCACAGGTGCAAGACCAGGTGCCCAGGGCCTCAGAAAGAATGTGTTGTGTGACACCGACCCATGGGGAAGGAACCCTCAGCTCTCCACCAGTCCTCAGAGAGACTCTGAAACGCTCAGTTCTGTGGATCTGGTGTGAATTCTCTGCCCTGGGCAGCCCACAGGGTCACTCCAAAGCCACTGGCGGTCAACCGGTCAGTTGGTCTTCAATCCTGTCTCGGGGCTGGCCCACCACCCACTCTGGGCAGCACTGGAAGACAGCTGGCTGGGACTCCTGGCAGGGGTGGAGGATGCCAGGTAGGATGACTGAGAAGGGAGGGGTTCCCATGACCCCCCGCCCCCAGCAGCAGGTGCACAGGACTCTGGGGTTGCTCAGTTTATTGGTAAAACGGGCACTGAGCGTGGCGAGCGCTGGACGCGGAAGCCTCGGGTTGGGGGGCGCTTTTCCTCTTGAAGAACTTCCACTGGACCTTGATGGCGAGCATCCAGTCGCTGACGTAGAGCCTCTTACAAGCGGAGGTGCAGACATGCGCCTGGCGGGGGGGCGGGGC